GAACATCTACCTATACTTGATCAATGTCCATGAGAATATAAAGAATTCATGTCTCACATATAAGGTATTTTGACCCATTCAATTAGATAAGGTGCTCAACAGGTATCACCTTTTTATATAAACAGGATGTTTTAAAAAAGGGGGCCCCGTTGCTAGGGTAAGTAGAACACTGTAAAATAAGTTGGTTGTTGAAAAATGGTTATTTATTATGCAAGGGGGAAGAGTAGTTTTTAACAGTAGGGACACCTGTGTTGTAGGCTGCTTTATCATTCTTTTGAAGTAATCAAATATCTGATGTCACTTCTGTCAGTCTAATTCCGTGATTTGATTTCAAAAAATTGCGAATTAGTGGTTGTTTAGTAATATACGTAATCGCGAAGTCGAATGGAAGATAAAAGGACGTGCAGTTCTTTCTCGGAGACGGTATTATTGACTCATTTTTCGGAACTATAGCACAACAGAAGCCATCAACAGTGTATATATATGTGATGTACATCCGGGAAAAAAGTACTCACATTTTTCCCACTTGAAAAAAGTAATTTATGAAAAGTGACATTTTATAATCTACCAACAGAGATGAAATGCCAAACTTTTTTCCCGAAATATATTATCACACATTTTTTATGATTATACACATAGAAATTAACTACTGGAAACATCATAATGGAATTTTGTATGAATATTTTCTGGAAGATGATACATCACATGAATTCGTTTTTATATCTGACTTTTTATTAGAATGTGTTTGTACAAGTAATATTAATGAAAACTTTTTGAGGTTGAATTTTCTAGCCCATATTTTATGTGAACTTGAACATCATTCAATTTTACACCAAAAGATAATCATTCCTGGTGAAACTTGATACTGTGTACCATTTTCGGAGTAATTCGATTTGAGGAGCTTATTTCTAATACTAAATATCTATATTGAAGTTGTGAAATATATAAGAGTCATTCCTCATGAAAAATTCTGCAAAGCCTAAAACTGAAAATGTTAATATTAGTGAATTTTTGAAAAATATTAATTTTGCCCAAGAATAAAGTAGGTTCTTTTATTTTCAACAATATCGAAAATTATTAGAGAACAAAGTTGAATTGCATTGAAAATTACGTTCAAATATTCAATTACATCTATCTACTGATCTACTGATCGATGATGGACGCTGTATATGGCCGTAGGTAAAGTATAATATGTAATGAGTGTTATTGTAAAACAATTACGCACTCATGGAATTACAAACTCGATCGTAGCTACGCGATTGCGTGCGTAATTTTTCCATTCTTGCATAATATGCTTCTTACAACACTTAGTATGTAATGTACTATTAAAAATACTTATTTTATACGTGGCTGTGTGCGTAGTTTTTCTACCCGTGCGTAATATGCTTCTTACAACACTTGTTACATCATATACCATTAAAGATACTTGTTATATACCAGCATCAGCTGTTACTTCATTATTTTCAAATAAATAAGAATATATTCCGAAAACGGTACACAGTATTGAGTTTTACCAGGAGTACCTTTTTGGTGTATAATTAAATAATGTTCAAGATCACATGGAATTTGCTCAAATCAAACATGGTGCTATCTGGGTACGGAGCGTGTAACTATAGCGCACTCTATGAGAGCCAGATATGAAAATAAAATTCATGCAATATGTCAGCTTCCAAAACATATCATACAAAATTTCATTACAATACTACCAATAGTTTCGACATAATATCGAAAAAATAATTCTCAATATTTTTTTCTCCAAACGGCATAGAAAGTGACTTTTCAATGACACGCAACAGGTAGCAAAGGTGTACTTTCTCTGCCTAGGCAGAAAAAATGTTTGCTATGCAATGTTCCAAGTAATTTGTATGCATTTGGGAATCACAATTGACACTGACATTGATTGGGTGAGCACAAAATGATAGAGTTTTCAATAAAAAAATTATACAAAATTTATTTAATAACATTTGGAAAAAAAAATTCCCAGCCTATCGCTACGCTCGACTATTAACTATCTGTCGCGGCAGTCAATCTACTACTTGGCTGCCTAGTAAAACAAATAACTTTATCTACACCTTTGTATCTTCACTACGGATGCCATTAGGGCATTTTTTACTGGGCAATCCCAACCTATGTTGCTGTGTTCTGCCCACCCTAGCAAGGGGGTCAGTTTTTCTTGAAACGCCTTTATCTGGTGAGGATTTCCAGAAATTGATTACTGCCATTTGTTAAGGCATTTATAGAAAATTCTATAAATTACAATGCTTCTGTTATGCTGAAGCTAAACATTCATAATATTTCTCTCACATAATATGAAAAATAATCCAGGACATCACTCTCGAAGCAGCAAATTCCACTAGAATCTTTAGGCATGCATAATTTACGAAATTTTTCGCAAGTGAGTAGAATACTTTGAGAATTATAACTGCATCTTGATTTCATCAATAGACATCATCGGCTCCACATATCAAGTTTTTTTCAAGTTTCCATTTTTATCTTTGTGGATATTATACCTAGAATTCTGGATATCACAGTAAATTGATCTATGTCTATAGATATCTTCTTAATTGATAGTATAATCGAAAAATCTTCATATTCTAGTTTTCAAACATTATATTATGCTAGATTCTCATTTCTGAAAAGTGCCTTTTTCATTTTGTTTCTAATATTTAATACACATATTGAGAGTTTATTGAAATATTTGTTGTAATAAACAGAAACATGATTTTATAAAATACAAAGTCACATAAATTTGATAAAATTGTTGATATGAATTGAGTGGTGGCCAGTTCATGAAAATAATTTATATTCAATCAACATTAGAAAATAACATGTATAAGTTCAATTATTCATGAAATATCACTCAACCACTTTTATTAAGCTTATATAAGGTTTGTTCTTTGTTGATGCTCAGCTTGCCAAAGTTGATTTATTTCTGTTCATCGCACTACAATGCCTACTTCCTCTCCCTATCCTTCCTAGGTACGCACGATATTCTTCAAACATTATAGAGAATCCGTTTCGTGCGCTCCAAGCGATAAAAAAAACAGAGGTGGTCATAAAAAAATCGAGTTGAGCGGCTTGAGCAAAGTGAAGTTCATAGTTCATCATTCAATAAATAAATTCCGTGAAATCACACGTATATATGCGCCAACAGAAAAAGAAAACTAGATAAAATTTTTTGATATAAAATCGGAACCTTTATGATGATTAATTCATTCACAATAATTATAAGCAGGAAACGACTGATGGTGTCTACTGAATAAATTGAATAAGAATAAAATTGAGGTGAGAACCTCCATTGTTGGACTAGACAGCGCGGAAATGGGTAAATTTCGGCAGACATTTTATTTATCGCTTAGTGTGCACGAAAGTGAATCCCTGTTATTTTCGAGGAACATCGTGCGTACCTAGGGAGGGTAGGGAGAGGAGGTAGGTTTTGAATTTTTTTTTCAACATTTGGAAATTATAAGTTCTTGGATAAACTTCCTTAGGAAATGAATTCTAGCACTCTTAGGGGCTAAATAAAATTTAGAAACTTTGAGAATTAATTTCATTAGATTTACGTTAAATTAATTTCTTGATGCGAGATTTCAACATCAGATATGATGCAGTTTCAATTATTATTATTATGATGATGCAGTCACAGATTAACCCTAATCTGTGATGCAGTTACATCCCCTGGCACATGAAGTCAGTTAGGAAAAGAGAAAATATACGTGAAAAATGTATTTAATATTAAATTTCTCGCATCAACCAGAAACTAAAAGTTTTTAGGTAATATTGTAAGTAACTGGCGACACTGTATACAGAAAAGGGCACAAAAAGAAAAAACGGCCAGTGCTGTAACTTCTGAAGCATTCCAGATCGGCATTTGGAATATGATCACCTACCATATTTCTAATTTATTTAAGAAAAATAATGTTTTATCATTTCTGGTTCGACCAGAAGTGACTCCAACTTCTGATTTTCAAATAGAACAACCTGTATATTTTTCCATTTTTGGATTCAGGATATCATTTCACATATATCAGTAGATTTTCCTGATCAAAATGTTTCTCAATTTTTATTTTTTTACAGTGACCATAAATTGGTAATAGTAATCAAGATCTAGGTAGCCTAATAAGTCAATTTCGATGTGACAGTGACATACGATATAAAGTTTCAAAAGGGGCGATGATATTTTCTATTTTTTGAAAATGAATGATAACGAGTTGAATATTAGAAAAATTCGGGCGGTGCTGATCGTTTATACAAATAGAAAAATGCGGATCCATTTCAGCATTTATTGTAATTATTTTTTTATTATTCAATTTTATTATCCCTGAAGTTGAATTGAGATTATTGGACATTTTTGCCTACGTAGGTATTCCAAAGGCCAACAAAAAAGTTGGCGAAAACGTCTTCAAGGCTGGTCTTATGTCAGTTGGATAATGAAATGAACAGCTGTCAGAATATTTGGCCTTTGTTTGCAAACAAGTGTTTTTACTTCACTTCCCCATAAAATGAATATTAATTTGAATTGTTATCCCCATAAATGGAATTAAATTTATAATTCATAATTTCAAAAAAAGATCCTTTACATAACCTCGAGTATATTCACCTTTGATAAAATCGGTCTCCAAGAGATGAAAACTACAAACCAACATACACTTTGTAATGCATTTCCCAATTTTTAATGAAACTTGCCACTTCCTGCATAAATCTTTGTTTTTATTTTGAACATGTTGCAGAGAAATTTTCTGTGGGACACAGCCAATTCACCTAGTATTGAATTCCCTGACTTCTACAGCCCGTTTCAATTCACAAATTTTGAAACAATGTTCATTAAAGAATAATCAACTCGATTTGTTGTTCAAAAATCTAATAATAAGGTGAAAACAGTGGAGATAAACACTACCCCTTATGGCAAGAAATACTTAATATACTTTACATCAATTCAACTGAATGAACATAGATTTTACAAATATGGTATTCTTGCTACCCATCAAATTTGAAATTCCGATCTCAAATGATTCAGAAGTTACAGTACTGGCCGTTTTTCGTGCATTCCTCTGCATATGTCTACCTTTTCAGGAAGAGCTCAATAAGCATCATCAACCGATAGTTTTGTGTTCATCTGCAATGAAAATTATAAGGAATTGAATTATCAACACGTTTTCCCAACTTTCCAAATATAAATTGGATAAGACGATAGCAATCAGGGGAATTTATTTGAAATACTATTCACTTGAAATCAATGAAGAATTGAATATAAATAAGTTGTATGAACTGGAATAACAGAAAACATTGAACTAGAGTTTAGGGCGCTACAGATAGAAATAATCGTATTGAAAGGAACGTTTTGCATAACGCACACCTGTTTGGAATTAATCATTTAAACGAAAATCATTACGACCAGCAGGCTAGTGAGATGAAATCATACAGCCTTCATAATATTCTTGTGGATAATCTGAAATTAATGAAAAAGTTGATCGTGCTACGCAAATAACAATAACAATTACCTACTGAAAAATATATAGTGTTTGTCACGGCGATTTCTACCGTTAGTGCCCTAAACGTTTCTTTATTCACAGGACTAGATTTGTTCTTACTGATATATACAGATTTAATCAAGAATATTTACTGATTCAAGTACAAAATGACTTCAAAAACCTATTGAAATACATCAACTCACTTAATGAAACAACTAGCATATAAAATTATTTCTAAACAAATTGATACAAAATCTTTGATCCTACACATTAAATAAATAAATAAATTACATTAATAATTAGCTGCATAATGTAAATAGAATATGTATACCATCAAAATGTGCAAATAAAAAATACATAGGAAAATCAAGACTACATAATCTCATTCAAAAAATGTATATATAATTTTTCACCCATGAGTTCGATTTGATTCCAAAATTAATACTCACTTAATTAACATATCTATCATCAAATGATATCTGAATATTGCCAATTGAAGCATAAATCACATCTGACTATTATAAAATGAATTACAATATCAAGAGCCTAAAGTCTGGCAGTTTTAGCCATCCATAAGAAATAAAGCATATGATATATTTTGATATTTTTTATGATCACCTAGGAAATGTGAACAATTTGACAAAAAGCCGAACTGTAGATTCGACAATTTTCGTGAAACATCTAATTCATTCAGGGTGCAAGATTTAGTTAGAGACTGTGCCAAAATATGCGAATAGTAATTTTTAGGTTTCTTTACACATTTCTAGGGGGCCAAACGAGAAAGGTGCAAGAATGAGCTATTTGCAGCGGGTTTTCGCCCATGGCCCCCTTTCCTGTCAAACATATTCTAATGGTGATTTTGTGCTCTTGTTACGCCTCTCTATATATCTCTCTATACACTTTCTTATTTCTGAAAATATCCAAACTGATGAGGTCAACCCAACTAGGAATAAAATATCTGAAACAAAAAAGAGTACATTAGAGCTCGGTCGATATATTTGATCTGGGAACATAATATCCATGTTGTTGCAAATAGATAGGAGATTTTACAGGTTTATTCATCGAAGAGGCCAACCCTATAATCAAGTTATTTCTCAACAGAAAAACGATATGTGGAAGTTGAACACCACAATTAGGCCTTCCCACAGCTCCGTTCAGAAGTCTTCAGGGAAGTCTTCAGAACTACAGGGTGACCACACAAAAAAATATATGCAGTATGTTTCACTAAGTTGGAACCATATGGAAAACTTTTTCAAGTCAGATATCAATTTTTTTTCAGCCGTATTCGCGGTGTGTCAAATGTAAGAGTACTATACTCTTGTGTACAATTGTACAATTCACATTTTTTGACACACCGCGTATGCTCTGAATTTTTTTTAGGTATTTTATTCAAATATAATGCGTTCTTGACAAAATTGAAGATGTAACTTAAAGCCTACAGTAGTCTGCAGATAGTTGATCAAAAGTTGAGATAGGGACATGTGAGCCGTTTTGACCAATTATGAATGGTTTAGACACAAAAAATTCTTGAACTTGGAAAATCTCGATTTCTCACACCCTATATCTCAGTAATTATAACTGCTAGACCCCAAGTATGATGGATTGTTGAAATCAGCTCACCAGGGAGAATCTCAAAATGAAATAATATATAGGGTGTTCGATTGAGAAAAGTTCAACTTCAGTGTTTTGTGATTTTTGGGGACATCCTGTATGTTTCAAAATAATTTCAAATGGTAGCCTATGTTGACATGCAACTTCCTATAGAGGAAGAATTCCAAGAAGATAAGTGGTTAGCCTTCTAGAGACCGAGGCGTTACTGGTGGCCACCCTGTATATATATATATATATATTATATCAACAGGTTTTCTAAACAGGGGCCCTATGCCCCGATGAGCCAGTGGAATCGCCACATTAGGAGGCCGAAAGACACCCAAAAATCAAAAAACGTCTTCATCTTGATCTCGCTGGATTAACCTGACCAAATGTAAATGTCAAACCCAACTCTGACAGACAACAGTAATGCAAGACAAGAGACAATTGGTTCCATGAAAATCATGCCAAACTTGTGGATGGTGACATTAGAGGGAACAATAACACAAACATCAGAAGCTCAAGACATTGAAGAGTTTTTGGCAATCGAATTGGATTTGTTCATTAAGTGGAAGAATATTTTTGTCCTTTAAAGATGAATTGATCTCAAAAATGTTCAACAGATTCAGAAAACTACCCTTCTGGCAAATATGTAGAATTTCCAAATCAGTATTAATGTTAAATGAGTGTTTAGAGTTAAGCACATGGTTAGCAAATGTACTTTGGGTATTGAAATCTCCGTCAAGGTCAAATTTTTCTATACATTTTACATGTTCGTTTACTCTCGTATGAATTCTTCAACCTGTTTCCTACCAACCAACCTATTTCTGTTTTAATTGTTCACGTTCCTTGTCTACAATGTTGGATTGAAGGTATACAATTAATCACCATTAATCACCACGTTGTTATCAATGCTTTTTCGTTCGCTTTTATTCATTTCTTGACCTAACTGTGATTTCTGTTCATCAATATCTTTTCTCTACACTTGGTTCACTTCCAAGTTGTTCTTCATATTTTTTTAAATCACACTGTCTTTGATCCATGAGTTGAAGTTTGTACATAACCTATTTTGAGTGTGTAATTCCATGAGTTGAAGTTTGTACATAACCTATTTTGAGTGTGTAATTATCTGCGATTTTTTGTTTTCTGGTTTGCTTGATTCCACTTTAACCTCACTTTTTCATGGTTTGCAAATCCAGCGCTCACCTTCTGGACTTTTATTTTCAGGTTCAAAATAGTTTAAATTTACTTTCTGCATGTTAATACAGTCACTGTGATGTCACTTTAAACAATTATCACATTGTATTGCAAATGAATAATTGCAAGTTTTTGCACAGATGGGACACTTCGAAGCCATCTTGATTGCAATTCATGAATTACCATAAAAGATATTTATAAACCTTGATGAATTCATTTCATTTCAATATGTTTTTTTGTTTTACATTTTTTTATTTTGTACTGTACAGATGTGCTGACTCGTCCAATCTATTGTAGAATAGATAAATTTGAATTCTGTAGAATTATTTCTGCTTCCTATGTTTCAATTCCAATCATTCAGACAATATACAGGATGGTGTTATATGGAATTCGATATTTCTGTTATATTGACGGTTTGCAAAAATCCACTCGAACAGGTCTACCTCATTATTAGGTCTAGGTATATCAGAGAAACACAGGGTGATGCATGCCTGAGTAAAAATTTATATTCGACACTGTTTGTTATTCCTCAATAGAGATTTTATAACGAATTCAATGATGCCTGGTTTGATTAGGAGTATACCAAAAGCCTACGAAGATATGTATGAACAACTCAATTTGTGGAAATGTCTCCAAACAGATCGTTACATCTCGCAATTATACTTCTGGGGCAAATGGTAGTGTTTTCCGCCCATAATTCCGTATTCTTCGGCGTACCCTTAAAATTAAACGAGTTTTCAAAAAATGAAATTGACGTTTTTTGCGAACCTTCAGTCGTTTTTTTCATTTTTATCAACTTTAGCTTGGTTGATAATGGAACTGACAGAGCTGTTAATAGTGTGGATGGTTTAACTTTCAAAATTCATTGAGAAGAGAACCAAAATCAGCGTTGTTCTGAGTTCTGAGCTCTTCAATAAAATTATGAAATAGTAGTAAGTGATGAATTAAATGTGATAAACGCTTTAGTAGTAAAGCATAAAAGACCTCAATCTTGGTCCCTGGGTAATTACGATATTTTTCACTATCATGACGTATGAATAACTATTATGAATGAATTGTTCTTTGGTTTATAAAACTGAATATTGACTGTCAAATGCTCATGCGACTGGCCCTAAAACTTTTCATGTTTGAAGAATATTTCGTCAAATAACTTATTTCGGTTAAAGTTGTATTCCGTGAATAAATGTCTCATTTTGGAGTTTAACTATATTTGTAGAAGTGCTAAGGCATACCTTGCTCTGGATATGGATTAAATCTAATTGAATTTGAATAATATTTCGTCAAACAACTTATTTCGGTGAAACTTGTATCCTGTAATGAAATGTCTCATTTGTGATATCAACTATATGTGTATGAGTGCTGATTCATATCTACAGGGTGGTTGATTGAAACGGTTCATTAGGCGTTCCTGACAAACCAGCCAAAGGATCATTTTGAAAGTTGGGGTGATAGCATAAACGAACCTGTTCTATCTTTCTGAAATAATTTCAATAACGTCTATTGGACCGTTTCAACCAATCACCCTGTATATCATCGTCTGATTAGAACTCACCAGACGGTATTTGATTAGATTTCTGTGTTTCTGTGAAGAAATGCTCCACTTTTAGATTCACGGTATATTTATTTTTGAAAGTAATATATGAATGGTTGATTTCAACTCACCCCATGGTGTTAATGCTTCAGTTTGAAAAATGGTTTGCAATGGCTTTACATATACTACGAGCATCTGTCCAAGTATAGATAATCCGACTGCGATTAAGAACATCTTGTTTGAAAAGAAACCAATGGTAAAAACACTTTTCGTCGAGGATCGGCAAGCAAGGGCATTCCACATGTCAAAAAAGACGAAGCACGTGAAGGTCATTGTTGTATCTCTTGATGTGATGCCTTCAGAACTCAACTGAAATAAAAAATAAAGAAAATCAAGATTTTAAAATTATTGCTAACGTGAGTATGAGATAATTGATTTTCATTCTGAAACATCGAATTTTGGCGCGGATCAACTACCCAATCCAAGGTGTTATGCAAATCCAGGGACTCGCGTGTCTTGGGATCACAGGGACTATGCGTACGTGCCCTACTGCAGCAATGGAAGCTATGATTGACCTACTACCCTTGCATATTTTTATCAAGAGGACTGCAGCTCTCAGTGCATACAGACTGAACTCCACTGAATTGGCCAGACCAGGTGATGTCACTGGTCACATGGTCATTCTACAAGAAGTACAAATGGAATCTGCAACCAAACCATCGGACATAATGCCAGCCAGGCTCAGTTTCGATCATACCTTTGAAGTGGTTATAAAAAGCCGCCCTAGGTACGGTTCCGCTGAGCCTCAGCTGGACAGAGGGCCCCTTGTTTGGTACACCGATGGTTCGAAAATGGAAGAAGGGGTAGGCGCGGGTGTATATGGACCCGGATGTAGGCTATTTGAAGCCTTAGGTCACTCCCCCACTATCTTCCAAGCTGAAATACATGCCATCAACCTTTGCGCCCAAAGGTGCCTGAGCAAAGGTCTGAGGGGTGCCAACATAGGGTGTTTCATGAGAAGACTCACATAGCCAAATGGTTAATAGGGGAAATCAAGACTAGTTGATGTATATATATGAAAACATTTTTTGACCCTCCATAACGAAGATACAGGGTATTATGTGAAATTGCTATATAACTTTGATGTTCGATATTACAGAAATGATTCGTCGTAATCTGCTCAAATTTGGCAGCGACGAATCTCTACTGAGACTATTCAAGATAACATATTATAAAAAAAATATGCAGGTCCGGACTAGGGAAAATTTTATGTTTCAGTGTTATGTCAAAAAAGTTCATTTTTTGACCACTTTTCTCGAAAAATTCCATCAGATTCAGAAAGATCAGACAAAATGCTATAAGAACTGCTTTTCAATTTACACGGCACACTTTGACCGGTTCAATAAAAAAATATGGAACAAAAACGTTCGAATGAAATTTCAATTTCGACCTGGCTGATAACTCTCAACTTTTAACTGGATTCGTGTAAATTGATTTTTGGAACATTTTTATTGGATAGAAATTGACAAAAGAAATTATTTCTGATTTTTTTATGATTTGACATGTTAGTTTTTGACCGAACTCCTATAGATATGATTACTCGTGACTCTATTTCATAAATTTGTTATAAAGTGGGCCCTGTTTTAATTTAATGTAACGTGACGTTTGTTTAATGTTTAATACTATAGAATATTTCCAGACCCAAGAATACTTTGCAGTTAAACCTTCACGAGGATGAACATTAGGAATTTTCAATAAATAGCAAATGCATCCTTTTATGACTTGCAGAAGTGTATATCAATAACAAAAAATGGAGCTAAGTTCATGCGTGATGGCATAACTAATTTGATAAATCACCATTATATGGGCACATACCTAGTTCTAGCCTAGTACCTACCTATCAGTTCGGATTATCAACAAACTTCACGTCTCGTCACACAAATGAGAAACAGGACCTACTAGATATCTCACTTCGAGAAGCGACACCCATAAAACAAAGTCAGGAATAATAATATCTATCTGGAATTTCGATAAAAAATATCGGGTTTTTTTCTTCTCGTCTATCATTCTGTCAATCACTATACAACAAAAATGTAGAAAAAATCGATTCACATGATACCAGTTCAAAGTTGACAGTTATCAGCCAGGTCGAAATTTAGAATTCATTCAAACTATTTTGTTCCATATTTTTTTATTGAATCGGTCAAAGTGTGCCGTGTAAACTGAAGAGCAGTTTACATAGAATTTTGTCTGATCTTTCTGATTCCGATGGAATTTTTCGAGAAAAGTGGTCACAAAGTGAACTTTTTTGACATAACAATGGAACATAAAATTTTCCCAAGTCCGGACCTGGATTTTTTTTTTTCATAATATGTTATCTTGAATAGTTTCAGTAGAGATACGTCGCTGCCAAATTTCAGCAGATTACGACGAATCATTTCTGTAATATCGACCATCAAATTTATATAGCAATTTCACATAATACCCTGTATCTTCGTTATGGAGGGTCAAGAAATGTTTCCATATATATACATCAACTCGTCTTGATTTCCCCTATTAACCATTTGGCTATGTGAGTCTTCTCATGAAACACCCTGTATATCTGCTCAGACAGCCAAGCCGCACTAAAAGCCCTAAAATTATTCGTTTTCACATCAAAGATTACATGGGAAAGGGCAACAAAGTCACACTTATGTGGGTTCCAGGGCATGGAGGAATCAAATGAAATGAGGCAGCTGATCGCCTTGCAAAAAAAGGTGCAGCATCTGCACTTTTTGGTCCTGAGCCTTTTTGTGGGATAAGCAAATGTCACCTAAAGGGAGAACTCGGGAAATGGGAAGAAATTGAAAAGTCCTCCTACTGGAGAGCAACTCCAGGTCGACGACAAGCGAAAAGGTTCATCAACCATTCGCAGAACCGAGCCAAAGAGCTACTCAGCCTCAGCAAACCAGAGCTAAAGCTTATCACATGCTTTCTCACAGAACACGGCCCTCTGAGGTACCACCTCAAAAAGATGGGTCTGGCGGAGACTGACACTTGCCGCTTTTGTAACAATGCGACCGAAACCGCGGAACACATACTTTGCTCATGTGAAGTATTAGTCCGCCAAAGGCTGAACCACCTAGAACAGGTCTATCTCACCCCTGCTGAAGTGGAAAAGTCAACCGTCAGGAAAATCGTAGACTTCATCAGAATTCTAGGGTTAGAGGACCAAAACTAGATAGGGGTAATCACAATAGATCTAGGTCGCAGTGATCGAGAGGTCTCCCAGCCTATACGACCCATCTACAGTCTACAATCTACAAGGTGTTATGCATTCCGAGCCGATGAATGTAACCTCGAAGAAAATTGTCGAACTTCCGAATATAGGCCAGTCATTGGGGATTTTTACCTGGAAAAAAGTCCGGAAGTTTTGAAACTTTGTAGGATCATAGTTTTGGGTGTCCAGAACTGAAATTCACAAAATGCACATTTCGGGACATGCCGCCGGCGCCGCCATCTTGCCAAGATGGCGCTCAAAAACTGTTTTTTGAAAATATCTCCAAAACGGTGTTTTTAGAAAAAATATAGGGACATAAAAATTCAAGATGAAGAAATTTTCTACGAGAAATGTTCTTAGTATATTTTTGCTGAAGTGAGCCGTTTAGGCCCAAGAGCTGATTGAATGACATCATATTCTGTTAATTTCAATAAACTGCCCCTAACTATCTCCAAATATGCGTATAAATTTATCTTTTATAATGAAACGGGCTATCTAATTGGTTCCTCGTTATATTTATAGCTTGCTGACAGAGGATATTTCCTATAAAATATGTTCCTAGAATATTCTCGCTAAAGTACCCTCGTTAAGGCACAAGTGCCCTTACCAAATTACAAATGTTGCGTAAATTTTCTGTAGTGGCGAGTTTCGGAAATAATATGTGTATTTAGGGGTCCCCAAATCTGATATTTAACGACTTCAAAAATATTTATCACGAAACGGTGGATATCCATTATTCAATTAATCGATGAATTCATCAATTGATCCATGTTAATAATTTATGATCAATCAATTTCGATTTCAAATGCTGTACTTGTTTCCACACCACCCAAGAGGCTAAGTACACGGCGCGTTTTTTTTAACGTGGTTTCCCCTGTAGTCCTAATCCACTCAGGTACTGAAATTATTTTTGGCAAAGGCCAGACGGACCTGGCTCGTTGATTTCGATATATTCAACGGGGAAACTGGTTACCTCAGCTCCAGAATCGATGTTAATTTCCTTCAACTCGGATTCTTCTTCTGCAGTCGATAAAGAATCATCATGCAGCGAATGGAGGTATTTTTCATCGGATTCGTCCAGTGTCACTTGGCTGATATTTTCACAAGTTTTCCCGTTGCAGACACCGCAAATCATCGAACATCGCAATCCTGCTTTCCTGCATCCGCAGGCTCTACCACAAGCCGCCTTGCACTTACAAGATAAAAAAGCAAGTAGGTAGTGCTTTGGAAGCAGGATCTTTCAAAGTAGTTATTGGAGTGAGGCCAGTTTGTGTTTTCTTCCAACCCCATCATTCAACTACTTTCGGACAACCACGCCATAGTTGAACCTGATAGTACGTTCTCAACGAATGCTGTCGTGCAGCTGCGCTTGTCGGTGGTAAAGATGCCAAATTGAATTTACTTTTTGTTACCCACTTCACGAAACACTGGTATCGATATTTATCAAGATTGGTGTAATTTGTGTCTTTGAATCCATAGAGTGCAAGGAAAAATTTCTCACCGGCAAAGGCAACTTGATCAGGGGTGGCATGTTCATTATTAAAAACTTTAATATGATCTTGTAACTCTTTATGTTTTTCTAATGTTGTTAGAAACTTCATTTTTCCTTGGTTAAATACGGTCTCGCAATTTTTTCATGTCCGTTTTTCTCGTAAAATTACTGATAGGCAAATTGTGTTCGTTAGGAAAGGTAATTTAGTTGATGAAAAAGTTCCTGTGTTTTTACCGTTTATAAAGATATCTCATCTGAAATATATATTTAGTGTATTTACTCATATTGGGATGGAGTGGTAAAGACAAGAAAGCAAAATTTCAAATTCCTATTAATTTATGGGCGGTTTTACAGTACGAGAAGGTACCTACGGATACATAGTATAGGTACGAAATTTACTCATAACCATCCTGCACCCACATACTTCTGGAGCAAAGTCGCCAGATTCGTCAATAATGCAATTTTTATATCGCCGAAATAATCGCAAGTCACAAATGCAAAATTTTTGTCGCATAATTGATCGCAAAATCGTCCAATATAACGCGGAACAAATTGAATAGCCCGTTTTATTATGAAATATGAATTTATACGCATATATGGAGATAGTTAGGGGCAGTT